TGCTTATGTGGTGCTGAGGAATCGAACCCAGGGCCTCATGCATGCAAGGCAAGCACTCTACCACTGAGACACCTTCTCAGCCCCCTCTAAGATGTCTTGTACCTCTGTCCTCCTCACCCTCTCCCTGACACTGTCCTGGTTTGGTCTCTAATTACCTCTTATGATATACTATGGCACTAGCCTCCTCTAATAGCTTGCCATGGATCATTACTCCAACCATGTATCTCTCTATTGATTCTTATTGTTTTTGTTATTGTTTTCCAATCATCCAGAATACAACAGTTAAGATACTCAAAGGTTTTTATAACCTGATCCATTCCAAGTCTCCTCTAGACACCCATAACTTGTTGTAATCTCATTATCTTTAGAAATGGTCAGAACTTTAGACACACTAGATAGTGTTACTACTATTTTACAGAAACCAAAACAAAGGCACAAATAGAGAATTATTTGTCAAATGTCACAAAGCTTGGAGGAAAGCATTGTTCTTGGTTCCTTGCTTTGGTGGGAAGCTAGACAAAGAGAAACAAATACTATTATACTATTAAAAAGAGGCAGAAAGTAAAAGTAAATTATTACTTAACATGTTCACCTACAAAATAGTACAATAAGTTAAAAAAAAAACAGGATCCTGATGAATAAATTCAGGTTGCAATCCAGGAATATTTTCTGGACAAAAACAACTGTGCAGGGGCTGGGAAGATGGCTCAGTGGTAGAATGCTTGCCTCACATGCATGAGGCCCTGAGTTCGATTCCTCAGCACCACATAAGCAGAAAAACCTGGAAGTGGCACTGAGGCTCAAGTGGTAGAGCACTAGCCTTCAGCTGAAGAGCTGAGGGACAGCACCTAGGCTCAGAGTTCAGGCCATGACCGACAAAATAAAAATAAAAAAAATAAGGGCTGGGAAGGTAGTTCAGTGGTAGAACGCTTGCCTTGCATGCATGAGGCCCTGGATTCGATTCTTCAACACCACATAAGCATAAAGAAAAAAGCCGAAAGTGGTGCTGTGGCTCAAGTGGTAGAGCTCTAGCCTTGAGCTGAAGAGCTGAGGGGCAGCACCCAGGCCCAGAGTTCAGGCCCCACGACCAGACCCAAAAAAAATTAAAACAAAAAACAAACTACTGTGCATGTATGGAGAGCGAAATGAAAACTTTCAGATGTTTTTCTACTCCAAGTGACAATGACAGTTCTCTTAAATCATGAATATTCAGAATGAGACTAAGAAAAAGGAAGTTTTATGAAGTCTTGCTCTTCCTACTTAGTTTTGAAAGGCTTTTTGTATTAAGACAAGCCACCTCAGCAGAAGAGGAAGTGAAAATTTGGGCAAAACCACCATTTTATTTCTTACCCCAAAACTGTTTAAGTCCTTTATAAATATACTCAAATTTGTTTTTTGTTTTGAGACAGGGTCTAGGTAGCCAGGCTGGCCTCAGTTTCATGATCCTCTTGCCTCAGTCTCCAGTTCTAGGATAACAGGTAGGTATCACCACTCCTGGCTATGATTTTCCTGATATAATCTCTCTTTCAATTGACTTCAGATGTCTTCTGGTCAAGGGTCAAATTATTCAGCCATTATGACATTATCTTTTCACAGAGTGAAGTCCTGCCTTTTTTCACTTGCCACTCCTGTGACATCAGACTATTTGTATCTGTCTGTGCCAATCACATCCACTATTTAAATAGTGCATATAACTGTGATAGTGCATGGACAAATTTTTCCCTTCATTACATATGTAAATTATTCTCTTTAAAATTAGTTCTAACTTGCATGTCATACATACAAGTCTTCTCTCTTCTGAATCCTTTTTACAAGGCTACTTTACAAAGAGCAAATGATCACACCCTCAAATATGTCACCAAATATTTCCCGTCTTCCTTTTCTTTTTTTTGTCAGTTGTGGGGCCTGAACTCTGGGCCTGAGTGCTGTCCCTGAGCTCTTTAGCTCAAGGCTAGCACTCTACCACTTGAGCCACAGCATCACTTCCTGCTTTTTTCTGCTTATGTGGTGCTGAGGAATCGTATCCAGAGCCTCATGCATGCAAGGCAAGCACTCTACCACTGAGCCACCTTTCCAGTCCTTTCCTGCCTTCCTTATGGGAAACAACAGTTCATGTCCTATACATCTTTAGATTCCATTACAGAGAAAAAGAATATTTTTAGCCAAGTGTTGAATACTTTTTCTTTGAGGTTTCTTACTTTAAAAGCAGCATTAGAAAAAAAAAAAAAGGCCAGGTGCTGGTGACTCACACCTATAATTCAAGCTACTCAGGAGGCTGAGATCTGAGGATCACAGTTCAAAGCCAGCCCAGGCAGGAAAAGTCCATCAGACTCACCTCCAATAAACCACAAGAAAACTGGAAGTGGTGCTGTGGCTCTAGTGGTAGAGCGCTAGCCTTGAGCTGAAGAGCTGAGGGACAGCACCCAAGCCCAGAGTTCAAGCCCCACAACCAACCCCCCCCCAAAAAAGGGAGGCCACAGCTGAGGGTGTGGCTCAAGTAATAGAACACTTCCCTAGCAAGTGCAAAGCCCCAAGTTTAAATCTCTAGTAACACTAAAACACACACACACACACACACACACACACATGACCAAAAAAAAAAAAATCCCACAAGTAGCAGCAGCATTTACAAAGAATTAGGGGCCTAAAGAAATATACTCTTTAGCAGAAGAGAATGGAAAGGAGAGTAAGGCAACTCCTTCACAAAATAAACTGAAGAGGGCTGGGAAGGTGGCTCAGTGGTAGAGTGCTTGCCTTGCATGCATGAGGCCTTGGGTTCGATTCCTCAGCACCACATAAGCAAAAAGAAAAAAGCCAGAAGTGCCGCTGTGGCTCAAGTAGTAGAGTGCTAGCCTTGAGCTAAAGAGCTGAGGGAGAGTGCCCAGGCCCAGAGTTCAGGCCCCACGACCGGATCCAAAAAAAAATTTTTTTTAAATAAAATAAAAAATAAACTGAAGAGGAAAACAAGCAGCGAAAGATTTTAGAGCACGTAGAGCCATTACATCCAAGACCCGGGAGTAAGTTCTCTAAATCCCAAACACTTACCGTATTGCATTTTGTGCCACACACCACTTGCCTATGATTCAACCATTGAGAAGCAAACACTTTATTAAGGGTCCCAAGATGAAATTCTTTCTCCTTCAGTAGACTGGGAAGCTGTTGTGCTGCATAACCATGCAAGACTCGAGAATAGTTGGTTTCATTCTGTAGCCTGACTTCCCGGTTCTTCAAGTAGTATACTAAGGATCTCTTCACTGGGGGGAGTCTTTTCCTTTTGTGAAGGGAGTGATCCCAGCCAAACTGTGGAAACAAACATTAGAAATCAGGGCTTTGGCTATCTTTCTTCAGAACAAGAACTTCTACTGTACTACACACAAGTAACCAAGAACTCATCTGGTAGGATTTACATGTAACAGAAATAGAATCTAATCCAGAAAGTCCAGTTTAACTCTTCCTGCATTGAAATAATTTTGCTCATAGTTAGACCTATATACTTAAAGGTTTATTAGCGTGAAGGGCACAGACACCCTGTACATATCAAGGGAGTAAGAGGCCTAGTGATTCCCAACTGCACCTGGGCTGAATCTCTACCCAGCCCTCTTCTCCTGTTCAGCCTGTCCTCCCAGAAGAGCACAGTATAGCTCAAAAAGTCAGACTGTGGTCCTAGGTCTTACAAGGATACCATCAATAGCTGCCCCTCAGTTATGCAGTTGTAGAATTAGAAAAACACCCATAAGGACAGAGCAGCATGGGAAAATCAGTGCTATTCCAAGAAGGCCTTCCTCTCCAAAGGGTAAAGGAAAAACATCCTGTAATCGTTTTAATGGTCCCAAGTCCACCCTTGTCTTGTCCAAGGCCAAGCTCAAGGCCTGGGTACCCAGAGGTAGGTAAGAGTTGCTTCGGGCCGAGTACTGCTCTTTTCCTCACTCCCAAAAGTCAGTTCTGTGAGGTTGGTTTCACTCCAGATTCTCCTCGACTTCGACTCCCCTTCCTCCCAAGTAAAAACTCTTGGGTTTGTTCTCTGCTCCACAGGCCTCTCGAGGAAGGACCCCATTTCTGAGTTCCTCTTTGGCTCCTCCGAACTCAGGAAGGACCAGCCACGACTCTACAAGGGCAAGCAGCCCTGGTTCTGTCCCACCGCTCACTCACAGCCCTAGTGCCCACATCCGAGGGGCCTTAACCCCAGGCGGGCTCCCCGCCTTACCACCCCGGACCTCGGCCTCCAACCCCTCACCTGCGGACCCTGAGCGTCGCTCCCAGCTCCTGGCGAGGCAGGCGCTTTCCGTTTCCTGCTAACTGCTTTCCGGGCCATAGTGGGCAGCGCCGCGGCGACCCCGCAGCCACATGGGGCGGGAGGTGTAAGGGGTAGCCGGACGGTGGGTCATGCACCGCGCCCCGGGGCCGCGCGCTTCAAGGCGCCCGGCCCGGAAAAATGATCCGGACCCCGGAGGTGTCGGTGAAAGAACGAAAGGTAGACGGAAGGGAAGGAAGGAGGGAGGGAGGGTCGGGGAAGGGAAGGGGAAAAGGGAAAGGGGAAGGTAGGAAGCAGAAGGTTTCCGACAGAGATGTCGGTCTGGGGAAGACGGCGAGCGGCAAGAACCAAAACACCCCCTCCACCCCCCTGGCCCGCGCTCCGTCACCCCTGCGCAGCCGCATTTCGCAGCGCGTCGCTACGGGAGACCCCGCCTAGGCGAGAGGGGCGGGATTTAGGGCGGGGAGGTGAAATGGAGGCTGTTTGCCTCGCGGTCGTCAGTCCGCTTCGAACCGCCCGTTGACGGCCGGCCGCTGAGGGGTGCCGGGGGTCCGCCGAGCTTCCATCTAAGGAATCTGGCTGCTGACCGCTGACCTTCGACCCCTGACCTCAGCTCGTCCATCCGCCGGCACCCGGAAATGAAAACTAGCTGCGCCGCGGGGCGAGGGCATGCCCGCTGGCGCTCTTTGTCCCCTCGCCACGGCTTCCTGTCTAGTTCTGCCCTGTTGCCTTCGTAGTCGATGGGCCTGGCTCCGAGCACTGGACGCTGGGGAGGCAGGACCTCCGTCCCCACATCAAGGTGAAATCTAGCTCCGAAGCACGCCCTGACCTTCCCATGGCCGGTCGCCACCAGCTCGGGCCACGGCGGGGGCCCGGGGGCCGCCCCCTCCCCAGCCCTCCACCCCCTCCCCACTCGACCTCCGGACTCGGTTTACTACCGGTCACCCGGCTCCCTGTGACATTCCCACGACGTGCTATCAGGGCCATCCTTACTGGTTTTTTGGTTTTGTTTGGGTTTGTTTTTTTTTTTTTAAGTTAAGCCTTAGGCTGAGCGTTGTCTGTCACTACCCGCCTAAGTCCGGGTTCTCAAGGTCTGTCATCGAAGAAGGATGATATTCCAAACCACAGGAAAGAGAGTGGCCATCTTTTGGCTTGTCAGTCCAACTTGGACTGGCATTGGTCACCAATGGAGGTTTTCAGGATCACCTCTGCCCCCATTTTCGGAAGATCCTGAAAGAAATACATGAGTGCCAGCCTCCAACTTTCCTCTGGCAGAGAATTCTTGGAAGAAACAGGATGCACTTGTTTGAGACCAAGGCCTCAGGCTGAGGTATACCCAGTTACCTGCTGGTCCCTTCAGGCTTCAGGCCTCATACCTCCATGGAGCTGTGTTGGCCCATCTGAAGTCCTGCCCACAAGAAGATTTGGTTTTGTTTTCCAAGCTGAACCAAATACCAGATTGAAACAGGGTCCTCCACCACCATCCCAAGTCATCACTGCCACTAACCCCTAATACCATCTTGGGAAAGTCATCTCTGTCTTTCTTGGTCAGGCCTATCCCTTCAGAGACGTACATACAGTGAATGGATCAGGAGTGGGTCAGTTTCCTTTTTCAGTTCTGTTCTGGTTCTGTCTTGCCTCACAATGCTCAGGAGCCCATTGGACAAGAGCCTGGAATTCTTTGAGAATCTCTAGGTTCCCCTCAGCCCCTACCAGAGGGGCACACTGGACATTGATGCAAGCCCATTCTTAAAGTTTGTTTTGTTTTGTTTTTACATTTCATCTTGACATCCTAGGAACCATCCCCAAATCTACCTTGCAGTAGAGGATTACTATATCTGTGGAAGTAAAATTGAGTGAAGTCTGGAAGTTTAAAAATTCATAATCACAGCCAGGTGCCGGTGGCTCATGCCTATAATTCTAGCTACTCAGTAGGCTAAGATCTGAGGTTCACAGTTTGAAGCCAGCCCAGGCAGAAAAGCCCATGAGTTTCTTATCTCCAACAACTCAGAAAAAGCCAGAAGTAGTGCTGGGACTCAAATGGTCGGAGTACTAGCCTTGAGTACAAGGAGGCTTGGGGATAGCACCCAATTCCTGAGTTCAACCCCCAGGGCTAGAAAAAAAAAATGGGGTTGTGACTGTAGCTTAGTGGTTGAGTGCTTACCTAGAATGCATGAAGCCCGAGGTTCAAGTCCTCAGTACAGAAATAAACAAAAAGTCAGAAGTACCGCTGTGGCTAGAGTGCTAGCCTTGAGCAAAAGAAGCTCAGGGACAATGCCCACGTCCTGAGTTCTGAGTTCAAGCTCCAGAACTACCAAAATAAAAATTAAGCTTATGATTTTTTTTGAGGTGAGGTATCAAACTCAGGGTCTAATATAACACCCCTTGAGTTATGCCCCCACCCCCATAATTATTGGGTCTTGTTATTGTTTGTTTTTTCTCAGTTGTGGGGCTTGGACTCTGGGTCTAGGCGCTATCCCTCAGTTCTTCAGCTCAAGTGAGTGCTCTACCACTTGTGCCACAGCACCACTTCTGGTCTTCTGGTGGCTAATTGGAGATAAGAGACTCATGGACTTTCCTGCCTGGGCTGGCTTTGAACCATGATCCTCAGATCTCAGCCTCCTGAGTAGCTAGGATTACAGGTGTGACCACTGATGCCTGGCTCCATAATTGTTTTTATTTTCCTTTCTTACTTTCTCTTCCTGATCTGAGTATATGGTCTAGGGTGACCTTGAATCCTCCTTCCTCAGCATCTTGAGTAGCTGGGACTATAGTCACTACACCCTGTTTACTACAAGTGTGTGTGTGTGTGTGTGTGTGTGTGTGTGTGTGTGTATGCATGTTCATGTGCAGCGTGCAGCTTAAACTTGGGGTTTGCTTGGCTTTCTTGCTAACAGCTGGCCTTCTAATACTTGAATCTAGAGTCTGGTTTTTAACTGGTTAATTGGAGTCTTCCATACTTTTCCAATGATAGTTGGCTTTGAACCACTATCCTCCAAGTCTCAGCCTCCTAAGTAGCAAAAATTACAGGCATGAGCCACTTTCACCTAGCCCACAATTGTTTTTTGTTTTTTTTGGGGGGGATCCAGTCGTGGGGCCTGAACTCTGGGCCTAGGCGCTGTCCCTCAGCTCTTCAGCTCAAGGCTAGCGCTCTACCACTTGAGCCATAGCGCCACTTCCGGCTTTTTTCTTTTTTCTTATGTGGTGCTGAGGAATTGAACCCAGGGCCTCAGGCATGCAAGGCAAGTACTCTACCACTGAGCCACCTTCCCAGCCCACAATTGGTTTGTTTTGGTACTGGTATCCAGGCTTGAATTCAGAGCCTTGTGTTCTTGCTTGGATTCCTCACTCAAGGCTGGTACTCTACCACTTGAGTTATAGCTCCACTTCTCCATAAGTAGTTGTTGTTGTTGTTTTTGGCTGGTCGTGGGCTTGAACCCTGGGCCTGGGCACTGTCCCTCAGCTCTTCAGTTCAAGGCTAGCACTCTACCACTTGAGCCACAGTGCCACTTCTGGTTTTCTGGTGGTTTATGGGAGATAAGAGTTTCAGATTTTTCTGACCATGCTGGCTTTGAACTGCAAACCTCAGATTTCAGCCTCCGCATAGTTAAGATTACAGGAATAAGCCATCAGCACCAGGCTTTTCTGGTCTTTTTTAAAAAAAACAAATATGCCGGCTGGGAAGGTGGCTCAGTGATAGAGCGCTTGCCTTGCATGCTCAAGGCCCTGGGTTCAATTCCTCAGCACCACATAAGCAAAAAGAAAAAAGCTGGAAGTGGTGCTGTGGCTCAAGTGGTAGAGCGCTAGCCTTGAGCTGAAGAGCTGAGGGACAGTGCCCAGGCCCAGAGTTCAGGCCCCACAACCGGACCCAAAAAACAAACAAACAAATATGCTTGTATATATAAACAAGTATTTCATACTTAGTATCAGTCTTTTAAAAACAGTTATGGAGCTCTTTTTTTCAGTATTTGGGATTGAATCTAGGGCCTTATACATCCTAAGCAAGTGTTCTATCACTGAACTATATCCCTACCCTAAATGTTTACCCTTCAGTCTATCAATTCTTTCTTTCCTTATTTATTTTTGTCAGTCGTGGGGCCTGAGCTCTGGGCCTGGGCACTGTCCCTCAGGTCTTCAGCTCAAGGCTAGCACTTTACCACTTGAGCCACAGCATCACTTCTGGCTTGTTCTTATGTGGTACTGAGGAATCAAACTCAGGGCATCATGCATGCGAGGCCCACCTTCCCAGCCTTGGATCTATCAGTTCTACTTCTGGGTTACAAACCCAACAGAAATTCATGAGTCCACCCAAAACTATGAGGAGAAGAATGGTCATAGCAGCTCTATACATAATGAAATAGGTATATTGGATCTAAGTAACTCCATTTTGGCATCTTAATAGAAGATGAGAAACTTTCTGAGAACTCTAGAGGTAACAGAGGACATCTTTGGATTGCAGATACGCCCTGAATTGTTAAGCTCCAGGAAAGTCTTGCTGGGGTCCTGAGGAAATAAGGAGACTGGGTCTAACCAGCACTATCTTGACCATGTGGTAGATGATAGGAAATTGGTTTTAACTTGCACTATCTCATCTTCATGGTAGAGGCAGGGAAATTCACCCCCAGATGATAGGTGTGCCTGAATTCCTAGAGATTGGGGTGGAGACTAGGATGATAGGTTATTGGACCTGTCAGTCCTGTGCCTCCAACTCACGAAACTCTCAAGTTTCCTATGACCCTGACCCCTGACCCTGACACACTATTTAGACTTGGACCAGCTCAGGTGCCTTTATGTCATACCTCATGTCCTGTGTCTCCTGTTTCCTGGCTTTCCTCTGGTCACCATGGTGTCCCACTTCCGCTATCTTCTGGAGTTAATCTGGTTTGTTGGTATTGTTCTTCTGTTCTTTGCTCTTACTCCTGTCATGGCTCAGTTTTCTTTTTTTCTTTTGTTGGTCATGGGGCTTGAATTCTGGGCCTGGGCGCTGTCCCTCAGCTCTTCAGCTCAAGGCTAGTGCTCTACCACTTGAACCACAGTGCCACTTCTGGTTTTCTGAGTGGTTTATTGGAGATAAGAGTCTCACAGACTTTTCCTGCTCAGGCTGGCTTTGAACCGTGATCCTCAGATCTCAACCTCCTAATCCTGAGTAGCTAGGATTACAGGTGTGAGCCACCGGCACTCGGTCATGGCTCAGTTTTCTAATAGTGTTGAGTGTATTCGAGGAGCTACTGGTCTTTGAAGCCTGCAGCCATTGGCTCTCCAATAAAGACTCCCAATTTGACCTCTCAAAATGTGGCTTCTCTGTTTTCTTATGACTAAGTTCCAGTACAACAATGATTACTCCTGATTGTTTCCCTGGGTAGTTTGTTTTGCCTATGTGCATCATTTTTGTTAGATTTAAGAATTCTCATCTAGCTTGCCCTG